TTAATGTAACTCGTTGTTGGACATTTTAAGGGCTGGGGTCAGGGCAGGGCCAGGGAATGGAGGTGTTATGTGAACTGCATGTTAATTAATAGTGACAGGAGAACACAATGCGAACAACGACATGGAAACTAATTAAAATTTATACACCAATAAAGCAATTTGATCAATAAAGACACCGCAATGCCGCACACACAGCATAACAATGGGCAAATACATATTTGTATCCTGTGGTCAAGGACTCTGCTCTCGCCTGCTCTGGCTCTCCTCAATGGAATGTCGAATGCGCTAAGGCTAATGCATGGCAAGCATTTCAAGTATTCCATCTGTGAGTGTGCGGCGGCGGCGGCGTCCAGAATTATGCAAAGGCAAACAAGTTGAGAGGGAAATGGAGTGGGGAATGGGGAGTGGGGAATGAGGAGTGCTCCTCCTACGGGCAACATATCCTCCGTGTATTCGATGTACTGTACACATGCCCGGGACTGCCAAGGCACTTCATTATTTTTTAACACACTTTTTTAATGATTTTTCATTTTCCGTTGCCGTGGCCAGACACAAATAGTTTGTGGCTCGGGTGCAAAATGTACGAGTATGTACGTGTATATGAGTATTCTCTTTTTTATACATTTTTTTTTTTTGGTTTTTTGCTGTTAAGTTTTGGAGCCCGACCGCTCGAACCGCCACTGTTTGTTTGCATTGGTAATGAGTTTACTTTGGCTGTAAGTTGCGCAAACAGACCGCCGGCTCACCTCGGCCTGGCTCTGGGACCGCACCCACAGAGAGCACGAGAGAGAGAGAGAAAGCCCCAAAAATGGCTATGGGGCATACGGACGGACTTTCGAGGGGGATGTGGAGGGCGGCCCAGAACTTGTGCATTAAACTTTCGTTTTATTGTAAACTTCTGTCAACAAAAATCTTTTGCGCCCGCACAAATACTCGTACTCCGGCACGCAAATTCGTGTGTGTGTGTGTGTGTGTGTGTGTGCCACATGTGTTTTTAGTTATTTGGTTGTTCCTGCAAATTGCTTTGCGGTGTGTGCAGCTCTCTTTCTCCCTCTCTAACTTTGATAAATATAAAAATTTTAATTAGTACTAAAAAATAAAAAGTCCAATGTTCAAACATGAAGCAAAACTCGTGTCCTGTCCTGTCCCATCCCGTAAAGTCCTTTGCAGGCTCCGTAGTTTCCGTTTCAGGGGTATATTGGACAAGTTCAGGTGCAAAAATAAATAAATTAAATAAAAACCAAGTATTACCATGTATTTCGGACTCACTTTTGGAGGATTATTGGGTTGCTTCTGCAGTACGGGGTATCTTCTAGTCCCGTGTTTCTGTTTCGCATTTAATGACCGCTCGTGTGAGTCAGCGAAATTTCCGCTATGGCTCGCGGCCCTTTAAAGTGGGCTTTAAAAAATAAAGGTGAAATAAATCAGGGCAGCACGGTTGATGTTGTTTGGCTTATCAAACAAAAAAAAGGTGAAACACAGAACATCGTGATGTGGCATGGTCAGGTCCGCGCCATCTCGATAAGCCTCGGGCGCCGGAACATAAATCACTTTACAAAGGAGAGCCGGCAATCTGCATCTATTTGATGCTCGAGACGTCCCTGATGCGGATATCAATTCATTAAATGATGCGAAACTCAATGAAATTAGCGAGTGGTGGCTTTGGCCCGGCGGAGAGTCGGTGTTGACAAGCCATCGCTAAGTAGACCATTACCAGGACACTCCAGGACGCTCAAAGGACTTCAAACAGTGCTCGGCCATAATGCCGGCCCACAGAGGGTCGGCCGAGGTCGGTTCGGGGCAAAGGCGACTATGAAAACAAAATCCGCCACTAAGTAGCGGGTACTTATGACATAATAGCTTTCTCCCAAACAGTGGTTCAAAAGCGAAACTTTTTCGTTGAATGGCAACATTTGTCGTTCTATAAATAACTTTTTCTTTGGAAAAAATCAATTTTTTATTGACAAAAAAAAAGGAACTGTGAATTGGCAAGGGAAAATGATATATTCTATAATTAACATATGATTTACATCTGAATATTAATTTGTTTGCTAATTGGCCAGATGGTCAATAGACGAAGAAAAAACTACAGACAAATAACTAAAGCCAACAAAGAATGATATATTGATGGATTGTTTTAATTGGCAGTCAGTGCAGAGGAGGAACTAAGCCGCTTTGAATTATATTTTATGATTATTTAATTGTTTCTCACTTTAGAGGGAATAATGCTCAGACGATGCTACAGATAGAATACAGATGTTATTCCTGTAGATTCTTTCCTTAGATTAATCCCATGGGAATAGGACAAGGACTAATGCAATTCTTAGAATAGAATCCATTCCGGTCTATTATTCAGTGTGGAAGGTGATGGTTGACGATGGTCTGCCCACCACTGTGCCCGTCAAGACACGTTTCAAGTGAATGCCGGGCCATGTCATCATTCACCTCACCTGTGCGCCTGCTTCCTTGTGTTGTTTTTCCTTTTAGCCATATTAATGTATAGTATGTGCTTCTGTGTGTGATTTGGAACATTTTAGGTAAATTAAAAAATAACATTATTATTATTTTGATAGCACGCTTTTTGGGGAGGGCGGATGTGGCAGCGGCTCTTTGCTTGGCCGAAACAAGAATAATAACCTTAAACGATTCTTGTGAATTGAAAATTATTTAGAGTCGCTAATTTTGCTAAAAGCAAAGACCACCTACGAGCCCAAGGCCACAGAACTTCACAGGAGGAAAGGGCCAAACACTTGGCCCTGTTTGATCTGCGTTAGCGTGTCCATGTGTCTGAATATTTCCAATCAGAGTCCGGCCATATATCATCATCAATTGTAGTCGAGAGGCTTGAGAGGCTTGAGAGGCTGGCTGGTGGTCTTGGTCATTGACTTTGATGCCCTTTCGCCCCCAGAATGCTGTTAACCCCAGACCCCGTCTGTAAATCCGGGGCGTTGAGCTGACAGTGACAAAGCAAATGTCAAATTAATTTGATGCCTTACTTAAGGCCCAACACCTACTCCTCTATCTCCATCACCATCTCCATCACCACCTCCATCTCCACCTTCATCCGGCATGGAGCATGCAGACAGGTGCCGGACACAATTCACGGCACACGAGGGGGAAAGTGTAACTTCAAAAGGCACAAAGTGTCAAGCTATTTAACACGAAGTCGGAGAAGGAAACGTGGCTCACATCCAGAGACAGAAGCAGAGACAGTCGTCATCCAGGCTGCTGGTCACCTGGAATGCTGACTGTCAATTTCATTTACGTTTTCAATCGATTTATTGTGCCCGACCACAGTCCGGCCGGGAACACGCCCCACATACACACACACACACACACACACACACACACACACACACACCACACTGGACTCGGCAGCAGACACTCAAAGGCAATATTGGTCAGATTTTTGACAGCTCAAATTGAATTTGCCTTTTGCTGCTGCCTTTTTGGCTGCGCCAGGAGTCAGGAAAAAAAAAACAGAGAATTGTTGTTTGCCTCCACCACCTCCAAAAGGGGCAGGCACCGCACGAGGGTGTGGCCGGCTGTCAAGGTGTGAACACATTTGGCTTTTGTTTGCCGCCTGCCACACGACGCAGCAACGATTTGTCTCGCTTTTTTGATCGATTGTTTATCTCGCCACCCGGTCCCTGGGGGGAGGTGTCCTGGAGTCCCGGCAATCGCCTGACCGCACACATATTTGTCATACTTTTATTGTGCCTCCGTGGGGGAGGACTTGTTTGCTTCTCAAGAAATCTGAAAATCAAGAAAAACTCGACACGCATATTCCCATATGCCCTTGCACCTGGGACGGGTATTACTTATAGACGGCATATTCTAGCAGAAATTCACTATTTATTTACTTAATTAATTAAAAAGTATCTGCTTATAATGGACCAAGACAGGAGGGGGGAACGAAATAAGGCAGTGTTTAAAAATTTAATAATTGCCATATTTTCAAGGGATATCTGGGGGGATATGGTGTGGCAGAGGGAATTTTAGTAGTAGTAGTAGGAGGGACAGATTTTTATTTATTTATTTATTTATTACTATATGATTTCTTCTTTATTTTTTTTATATTGTAAACTTGCATTATTTTATTATCCGTTCTTCCTTCTTGATTGTCATCTTCTTGTCTAGGGCAAGTATCGATATATCGAGTACAGTGGAGTTTCTTATAATACAATCGATAAGTAAATCTTAAACTATTATTCATATCTTACAATATAAATATCAATATATACTTGATTCTCAATATATCCTGAATCGATTTATTCGATCTTTAAAAAAAAATTGAATTAAATAGAAAGAAAACACATAATTTTTCATATTTTACTGCTGAGGAATCTCTGATTACTGCTGTCAAATATTAGCTTAGTTTTTTAAAAATTAAAAAACACTCGGACTCCGTGGAGCAGGCAGGAACACATCAAAACACTGTTGGCAATTTTTGTCTTCATACAAGAAGAGAAAGTCGGCTGCTTGTGACTTTTCCAAGCAAATATATAATCTAAAAGTTTGCCACAATAAAACATCGATTCGCAAGAAATATAATTATTCGTAAGAATCGATTATTACGATACAGACATCGATTACACAGATTAAACTTACATCAAATTCGTAATCAGCGACCCCAAAAACTACCGAGTATCGAGTTTCAAGCAACTCTGAAAAATTTGTTCAAACAAGTTTCCACCATATTTCGACCATGTTGGGTTTTTAAGGTTAGAAAAAAAAACCAGACGTGATGGAACAAATCTGACCTTGGATTCGTGCAAAATACATAGATATATGATACTACTCGGCGAATGTTTGCCCTCGCTTGTTTTTACTTTGCGATCTCCTTTCATGGTTGGGAATTCTCCAGGGTTCGATCGTGTTTGCTTTTTCTAGGGATCGCACACACGATTTCCCTTTGGAACTCCTGAGGTCTCATTCCCGACACTTGACAAAACATTAAAAAACTCATATTTCATGGCTATTTATTTATTTAGCTATGTTTCAATGCGATTATGTTGTCTGCCACATAGCAGGGTATATACGATGTTCAATGTTTATTGAGATTAGATTCGATTATTGGCCGCTTTGAGTTCCTTTGTTGTCAGCAGCGCCAGCTTGGCGAGGCATAAATTCCATGGTGTAGCGCAGGTAGACCTCGGATAGATGGATGAACTCGGACCAGAAGTCGTCCTTGGTGTACGGCAGCTCGAAGCAGGCGATGAAGCCAGCCATTAGCTTGTTGGCCTGGCTCTTGACCATAATGGCGGCATCCCGGTTGACAGTGTCGGCCTCCATACTCGCTGCGAAGCGGCACAGCAGGCGAATGCAGTCCACGGCCTGGACGTTGCGCAGCAGCAGGAGCTTGCTGACGGGCATCTTGAGGAGCTGCTCGAAGGCCGCAAGCGCCTCGTCGTAGTTCTTGTAGCCGATGGTCAGGCATTTGATCAGCTTGTTGATTTCGCCCACAAACTGCCTCTCCACCCGCAGGGAGCTGCCCTCATGGTGCACCTTACGCATGTAGGCCAGTTCGATTTCCCTCAGAGTGGTCGCTGGAGCGGCGACGGCAGCGGCGGCTCCGCTGGTGGAAGGAGCAGTAGATGGGGCCGTGGCCGTGGCCGTGGCCGGAGCTGTGGCCGGGGCCGGGGCCGGGGCCACCGCCTGTGATGTATTTTCGGCGCCTGGATGCATCACCTGCCAGACATAGTTGATAATGTCAGTGTCGTTGCCGCCCACGAGCCGCTCGGTCATTAATATTGCCAAGCGAAAATCCTCGTAGTCCAGGGCTTCCTTGGTGACATATTTTTTCTTTTGTTCATCGTCGTAGGGCCAGATCTTGCGATAGCTAATTTTCTTGCAATCGTTGGTGCAAATAAACATGACGACTGCAATCTGCTCGTCCTTCCTAATGAGCCTGCCCGGCCATGGCATGTATCCGCGGTATTCCGCAAACACAATGTCTTCCACCTCGAATTTACCTGCCAAGAGAGCGTCATCCATCTTTGTAAGTGCCAACTGAACGAATGAATGCCACCAAAATCGTACAAACTGCACTTGACTAGTAGCAGAAAATGAATCAAGGACTGTGTTGGTGTGGTGGCCGATTAGAATGAGATGAAACCAGTGCCTGTCTAGTGATGCTACGTACCTCAATAGAAAACGATGTTTAAAAGCAAAAGAAACCTCGAGAGTTTTAATTTTTTCAAATCGGACAAAAAAAAACACCAAGAACATAAGCGTCACTGCAACTTTTTTTTTCCTCTTGATACGAACATTTGCAACACTATTTTTTCGATGAACCAAACCGATTTTTCTAATCGAAACTTTTTTCCTCTTGCTACGAACATTTGCAACACTATTTTTTCGATGAACCAAACCGACTTTTCTAATCGATTTGGAACTTTACAAATTTTTAATGAATTATGTCTATTTTTTTGGACAAGGTTTTCCTTCAAGGCTCAGAAAAAGTCAGAGAAAAAATAATTTCCTGTTTTTCATAATTATTGCATTAATTAGGCGTCGTTTAAGGTTCAGTCTATGGATAAACAGCCAAGGTAAACATCCTAAAATCGAAGCTTATAATTATTGTATTGTTCGGTACCTCTGGACCAGTGTTGGTTTTACTCTCCTCGGAATACGTTCCCTTTTTTTTTACAAAAATACCAAAATTGTCACCGAACGATATACCGATAAGAAATATCGACGAAAATGCACATCACTAGTGGCTAATGAACGGCACTGCCATTGTGGCTTTTCCACCAGCAAAAGAGCACAGCTATAGAGGCCTTGTGCAAGCCCGCACAGGTTAGAGGGAGTCCAAGCTAATGTCTGAAGGAATGCCAATTACGAATGTCAATTTCATGCACATGCAAATAAATTTTGCGTAAGCCTTTTCGCTTATGTGGGAGTGGGTGTGGGTGTGGCTGTGGCTGTTTGTGTGTGGAGCATGCGTTTTTTTATTTTATTTGTTTTTGGTTGCCATGGTTACGGCATGGGGGATGCGAATCATCTGAAGATACAAACAGTCCGTGGAATCTGCATTCAACAAGGTACAAAATGCGCATAGAAATCTTCAATCAGTCTGTGCCTGGAAGCGGCAAGTGGCATGACGCAAACGCCAGCGGCAATCTGAGAGCCGAAGAGTCCTAGCATTTAAGCTAGAATTAGCCTAAGAATTTATAAACTGCACCCTATATGACGCCTAATTAATGCACCTAGATATACGAATTTTTCAGAGTTTTTAATGTCTTAATTTCAATAAAAATACCAAAATTTATAGCAAAAAATTACCAATTTTAAATTTTCATTTGACGAGGTGTAGCATATTTAAATTATACGAAAAAACGCAAGCTTACCTCCGAAAAAATCATTCAAAAAATACCTATTTTTCTTCGCACAAAAATACATAATTCATTAAAAAATGTGGGAACCCCAAATCTATCGGAAAAAGTGGATCTGGTGTGGGATAGCTGATATAAACGTTGATTTTTCCCTAATTTCCTTCTATTAATTCTCTTAATTTTATTTCAGCTTAAAGACAACTTCCTTGAATGCTGATTTGGTAAGTCTCGCAACTCATTTGAATAGCGTTTCAAGTTTTTTATGGCCTTAAGTACACGCCACAGAAGTCCCTCCATAAATCTGTACTTTTATGTAAAATTTTAAATGTCATTATTCCCCGTTCGGAGAGGAGTGCTAGGCGGCAGGGGAAATGTCTTTTTAGTGGACTCTTTGTTTGTGCTATAAATGCCGGCGTTTTAATGTGGTGGTCGCGTCCTAGCTGCTGGCCGCCATAATGGGGCACACACATTGGGCAAATGGCCATGCAACATGTGGTGGCGTCGGCTACTTGTGGCATCTTCCTGTCCCTCTTCTAATTTGATTTATATTTATAAAGTTGAAATCATTTACTTTCGATTGCCGGGGTAATAATAAAGCGTCGTTACATTTAAATAATGACCAAGTCGAGCGTCGGTTAATGGTTATGAAAATTCAATTATAACCCCAGCCGCAGGATGATGGTCGTCTCCTTAATTCGCAACATCTTTCCCCACTCACCACTCGCCACTTGGCAGTGTGCCCCTAGACCGCCTCCCACCCCACTCAAGGAGGCACGGCACATAAAACACGTGGCAAGATTAATTGTAGCCGGCTGTCGTACATTACAATGCGTATACGCGCTGTTGTACATGTGTAAATAAGGGACAAGAGAACCACCACAGCAGTAGCACTGTTCCTTGCCGACTGCCCTGCTCTGACTACTGGGTGTCCTTGCGGCACTGGCGACTGCTTTTTTGGTCATCATATTTAATTCAAGCATAAATTTTTGCACGCATATAAAAAAGGAGCCCGGGACAGAAGGAAGTAAAAAAGAATTAATACGTTTCGTTTAATTTATGTGGCCAGAGGGTGGGCCCTGTCCTGCCCTGCCAGGGGTAGGCATGAAAAATAACCCGAGCTGGACGCAAACCAATGAGCCACAAACGACCGTGACAGAACGGGCCGGCAGTGTTGCGACGAGGACGATGGGGATGAGGATGAGGATGAGGACGATGATGATGATGATAGCCACTGCTGTTTTCTCGTCACCCTTTTTGCCCTGGTCCTGGTCCTGGCTCTGTTGCTGGCCCTGGCCCTAGTCCTGTCTCCGACTCTGTGCTGCTCCTGACCCTGTCCCTCCGGGCACCATTTGGCTGCCTTTTGTTATTCCAGTGTTCGGGGTAATTACCAATGTATGCGAGGCGGGGGACAGGTGTCCGCGCAGCCTCGGCGCCGCTTTTAATTTGTCATAATTTTGCCATAGACTATCGCACACCGTACACCGCTACCGACTAATTAGCTAGGCCAGACCACCCACCAAAACCGAGCTATTAAACACTCACCAGCCTCGGCGTTCTCCATGGCGCAGCGCTCAAGTCTTGACGAACAACTGATCGGCCGACTTGTAGTCGCGGCTGTCGATACTGCAAGTGGAATATAACTCCTGCTTATAGTTTAAAAAACAATTGCGTTTTCTCAGAAACATAATAGAGGGGGACTTTGTTTACTTACTTGGGTTTCAATCGGTTGAATGCGATCCGAAGGAGGGGGCATGAGCTGTTGCTGACTGTTGACGACTGCCGGCGTCAGCAGTCTCTTGTTTAATCATCACTACCCAAAACCGACGACATAAACCATAATCTCGATGATAAACTCAACACTGAGCGAAAACCACTTAATTTTTCAGCCAATAAACCCAAAACACCGACAGCTCCAACAGCTCCAGCAGCAACACCAAACAGAGACGCCGCAGAGCAACTCTCAGCAGAAATGGAACGAGCAACTTGCCTCCACATTCACATCATCAACTGCTGCAACCGTAGAACCGAAACCACATAAATCAATGTCTGAGGGCGGGCTGGTGGCCAGAATTTCTAGGGACTGGCACCCAACTCTCTACGGATTCCGAGCCATTTCCTTTGGCTGTGACAGAAATTGCAAAATATTTGATTTGTTCTTATTTAATTTGAGCATTTTCGGGGGCCGCACGCACGCATTTGCCAAAGGCAGACGAGAGCAGAGTCCCCAAAAACCGCAGCCCACACACATAGGTAGATGGATACATGTGGATACATGTGGATACTCCTCCATTGATTGGCATAAGATTGCCAGCAGAGGACAGGCCGGAGGGCAGAGGCAAGCCATAGTCAAAGCCCCCTCCAACCGTAGCCACATCCGAGTGCGTTGTGCAGTTTTCGAGTGATGTCAGGCCTACCCTTAGACGTCATCATTGATGCCTGATGAATGGGGGCCGGTCGGCGGGAAGGGGCGGCCGAGGCGAGGGATAGAGGCTGCTGCTTTTGGCCATCAACGAAGCTCTGGCCATGTTCATGTTCAATTAGTGCAACGGCACTGCACTTTGTCCATATAAAATGCCTGCGAGTCTAATTAATTACTACACGAGTCAGATACAGATACAGATACAGATACATTGGGGGAGAGAGAGAGAGTAAAGGGAAGGGATCTGTCGGGCCAGACCGCAGCCTGTCATCCATCTGTCTATCCTTGTATCCTCTGACTGATTTCAATGGACCCCAACAGCAGCAGCATTATTAGGCCATGTCCATGTCCGGCATTGGTTTCTGTCGCCCCCGCCCACAGCTAATAGCGAAATAGTATCCACAAGGCCCCCTAAAATGTAGAGCGGATCAAATTTTGTATTTTGACTAGCGGCTAAATATTTGCCATTGTATTTTATGTGTATTGTACATGTCGTTGGCTGCGATTATAATCAAGCGGCTGCTGTGGGGCTGCTGTGGGGCTGCTGCCCGGACTGGCAGCTGTTGAAAAGGAAATGCATACCCTGCCATCACAGCCGTGATGCATGCCTCTTCCCAATCAATTTCAGTGGCACCAAACGGGGAGAGGCGTACCGAAAGCCCGGATACTCTCTGGCAGATCGTTCGTCGCACCGGCACTGGAGTCTGCGGCCAAAAGATATACCCTTTTGCAGAGTTACAGAGTAGATAAAGTAGAAAATTGTTGCAGCCAATTTGCATATTGAATTACATTCATTGTTGATGCTTGCGTGCGTTTAATCCGGCAGTACCTCTGGCAGTACCCCTAGGAACCTTCGGAAAAGGGCTTGAAGGGGGGGGGGGGGGGGGGGGGGGCGGTGGGAGGGCCTTTCATGTCAAACAAAAACCGCCGTCATATGGGGGGGGGGGGGGGGGGGGGGGGGGTGTGTGTGTGGAAGGCTGCGACTGGGTGCTGGCAAAGAGTTGTCATTGTCCCCTTTAGTTATTTATATTTTTACAACATTTTCTCCCCCGTGTTATATTTTTTTTGACGCTTCTGAGTGACGCTGACAATGCTGGCAATTGGCAGCCGCCACATGCCACATGCCACATGCCAAGGCAGCGGCCATAAAATATTCAGTTATGGCAACAAAGGACTACAAAATACGAGTACTCTCCTGCCCTCTGGAATATTACTCATCTCTCGTCAGACCGATGTACTCTCCCACGCAAAAATGTTGCCCCTTCTACTTCTGGCCTCAATTTGGCATGCAAATAAATTGGCTGAAAATGCAAGTAACTATTGTTGGAGTAAGTCGCTGGGTGGCTGGGTGTTGGGTTTCCCCCGGGAATTTTTGATGCTTACTGCACTGAGTAGAATTAAATGAAAGGGCGTTGGGGTTGCCGGAGGGGGGGCGCCAGAGCCCTATTAAAACCTGGAAAATATTACCAAAATATATGGAATCGCTCTCGTAATTGGGCTCTATAGAAATTGGGTCTTACATTAGTGGCGGATCATTATTTGTATTGTTATGGAGGACTCTTGTTATTTCTGGCAATTTTTGGTATTTGTGAAAAATTCAGGGAAATATAGTTTAAAATTTACTGGAAAATAAATACTTTCCGTTTGAAATAGTCGAGAAATTAATAATAAATAAAATCAAATAATAAAGTAATGATCACCTTTTTCCAGTTTATTATTTAATTAGGAACTTGGGACCCTGTGAATCCGAAGAATATACCAAATTGTCTTCCGTTCTCCTAATCCTTTTAGTCCCTGATTTATAGCCGCACCTAATTCCATTGCATAGAGTACTTATCCCATGAGCATTGCTCCACATATCCATTAAAAAGGCCAAACTTTGGCAGCACGAAGCGAAATCTTTCGACTGCAAATGGAATTACATCAAGTTGTTGGCTGGGCCCAACTTTTGCTCGGGTGATAATCAAGCCAATTTGCCAATGAGCAGAATGCTAAAACAATTAAGATTCAATTTGGAAGTTCTTCAAGCTGCACATTTCCTGGCGCTCCTCCGCTCGCCGGCCGGAGTGACAATTTGAGCCCGGGCCAAGAAGCAGGGTCGATTCGGGTTAAGACCATTTGGCCAAAAAAAGGCATTACAAGGATTTAATTTAAAAGTTTGCAACACTTGGCCGGCCAGGGGGAGGCCAGGGAGAGGTGCTTTGTGTGGCAGATGGGGCAATTAAAGCATGGGGCATGCAGCAAATGAAATTTTTAACTTAATATAGAAAACGATTCGGTGAATGAATTGCCTTTTTGGCCAGCCATATTTCTTCTCATTTTTTGTTCCGTTTTGTAATTTGAGTTGCAGCAAAGAGAGGAGTGCTGCTGCCACTGCCACTGCCACTGCCACTGCCACTGCCACTGCCACTTCTGCTGAGAAAAGTTAGTTTTTCGGGGATGAAGCACATTAATTAGAAGCTGCCACGCTCGGCAGACACGCGTCCAGGTGCCTAAAAAGTTGCCCAACGTGCAACATGCTTCGTGGAAAGAGCAAAACTTTCTCGGTTTGTGTTGCGTTTGAGTTTGACTTGAAGTTGAAGTTGAAGTTGATTTTTCTATATATACATATGTACCTACTTATGCTACCTGCTGCATCCCACACACACATACGATATCCGTACGCTTTTTGTTGTTGTGGAATTGCCTGGGAGAGGTTGCTTTTAATTAGGGCCCGCCGTCATGCGCCATGCACTTAAGTCCTTCGAAGGAGTACGAGTATCGGGAGCAGTGGCAGTGGCAGTGGCAGTGGCAGTGGCAGGAGTGGCAGTGCCCTCAGTATCAGCCAGCATCATTAGCAGTCGCTGCCTGACTGCCGACAAGGTGTTAACTTTTAAACGTAACATTTAATTTTCGCTAAAAGCGCAGAAATAAAACATATGCACACACAGGGGTGGCTCCCATTTGTAGGGGAGGTGGTAGTGGGGGGGGGGCAGCCCTGTTATAAATAACGTAATCTTCACGCACGTAATTCAAATGTGGCGGATGGGCGTGTCTGGCCGTCGTTGCGTCTCATTTAGCGCACGTAACCAAATAATGACCCCAAATGATGCTCCTGCCTGATGACCCACGCGGCGTATACATAACGCTCGCAGAGGGGCCGAAACCGGAGCAGGTCTCCCCTTACGACTAGCAGATACCCCCTGAATGGGTTCAGTGTTTCTGGTGCAATCTGTCGATCGCATATTCCAGCTGTTGTCTAAAAATCCTCCCACAATAAGTCGCAGGGGAAAATGGTTTACTTTGTTCTTCTTTTAATGACGATCTGAGAACTATTATTCTTGGCTTATAAGAAGTTTAAGGTACCTCTAGATTGGAGTTCTATACGCTTAAAATTGTGTTTACCTAAAGATTACTATCTAAAGACTTGAAGTTTTGTAAAAAGGCAATGGTTTCACTTAAATTTTGACATTAATATGCTATAATTTGATATAAAAATCTCTCGATTGTAGCGAGTGTGCAAGGGGGCTTGCCGCCTTAAAAATTCAATATATTTCATATTTGAATGAAATTTCCTCCTGATTTTCTACCAAATAAATTGTTTTATATTTAGCCTTATTAAAAATAATTTTTTTTTAAATTTATTCTTCCTAATTTGGTATTTTAAACCAGAATTTTTGATTTAAATATGGTTGTTTTTCTCTGAGTGTAGTCTCGAGTTCTATATATTTAAAACTATGATTATTTTTGCGTTGGCTTAGCTTCCAGATATTCCTATTTTTCAAGGCCTGTCCCATACCTGTCCTCAAACACAGCATACCCCTTTGGAGCCCCTTCGGATACCCTGTACAAAAAAGTAAACTGCGTGCGTATTGTAAATAAAATAAAATGTAACGAAACGAAGCGAAATGTTTTATCAACGTGCCGGAGCGCACTAAACACAGTACCCCCGTCCCCCGCCGGACTCACACCACCCAGGAGCATCCTGGAGCCAGAGCAGAGCTGTCCATCTGACAGATGGTTGCGCTGACCAGAGTGGAGGCTTGCGGTAGCCCCCCCCCCCCCCCACCCCTCTATCAGAGGCCTTTGTCTCTCTCCCTGTTGCTGATTATCGCTTCTCGTTCATGTGATATTTGTTGTTGTAATTGTTTTGGGAGAGGGAAGGACGGAACGGCGCGTTAGATACTCGCACTCGGACAGCAGAGGAACAGGAAGATAGATTGCAATTGCCACAGGCCATTACCGAATGCGGGCGAAGGGCGGCGGGGAGTGGGGAGTGGGGAGCAGAAAATTTCTTGTCATTAAATTAAAAATAAACGACAATATTTTATGCGCCTATAAATATGCAGCACGGCACACACAAAACGCCTGTCTCGTAACAGGGAAAGCGAGCAGCTGTTGGAATTTATTTATGCGATTTCTTGCCGTAGTAGTTACTACGTTTTAATGTGGGGGGGAAGTACCCCCCTCTGCTACACAGGTGTCTGTGTGTGTGGAAGGAGTTTACACGGGCTCGAGAGTGGGATAGAAAAGATAGAAAGATGCCTAAGCCGATGTAAGAAGAATTTATATCTGCTAGATGCATCCAAGGATACGCTCTCGGGCACGGCCCAGGCTCTGGAGTCGTAAATTATGATTAGGCAATTGGCAGAAGGCTTAGCAAATTGACATTTTGCAATTGCATCTCAAAGATACACACATGCACGTGCGCTTCCCGCAGATTATTTTGTACATAAACCTTTTAAATATTAAAATATGTTTTCTCTGCACATTACACTGGTGTTCATCTATGATTTAATTCGACTTAGATACTTTTGTATCTCAAAGATATTTTTGTATACAAAAGTCCTTTTCTCTGCAGAAAATGTCGTTCATTGCTGTAACTTTTTCGTCTCAAATATGATTGCATCTCTAAGATACTTTTTTGTGTTATGATTAGCCCCAAAGATACATTCAAATAGTATACCTGCAGAACAGTAGATATATTTTTAGATTGTAGATACTTTTACATCTAGACAATACGTTCGCATTCGTATCTTGCAGATACATTTCTTTGCCTGAATAATTTTGAATACCATCGATGGCTGAAAAGTATCTCCACATATTATATACATATTTGTGTATTTTTCTCATCTGAGTATCTTACAGATACTTACTAACCTAGTCACTGCTTGGCTTGCAAGATACTCGCTTAAATCCTACAGTCTGCATCTCCATCTTCCATTTTCGTAGATATTTTTGCAAGACTTCTCTGCATCCGACAGATACACCACAAACTTACATCGCACAGATACACATGTGCGAGTGTGCTGGCCTGCAGATACTTTTGCGGGCTTCTGCCGCTCCGCCCATTGATAAAATCCAATAAATAAAGCTCAAAAGTAAAATAAATCTTCTCATGGGTCTTTACAATGCAATCCTAATCCTACGCCTCCGCCTCCATCTGCTCCTCCCCCTGCTCCTGGTATCTCCAGTCGGGCATTCTTGAAGGGTTTCAGCTCCTCGTCCGGCAGCTGCAGCTGCTGCTGCTCCCGCGGCTCGTTCCACGGCTGGGTCACGGCTGTGCCCCAAATCAAATAGATCACATTGCCGGCGAAGAGGACGCCGGCCGCCAGGCTGAAGACCAGCTGCCACTCGCTGCGCTGCGTGGCGTCCGTCACCAGCACGCCGACGACGAGGGGCGTGCAGAGGGCCACCAGGTTGGTGAAGGTGCTCAGGATGCCGGCGAGGATGCCGGCATGGTTGGGCGACAGGTCAATCGTGTTCAGCTCGCTGCCGATGGTCGCCGCACTGCTGACGCCCACGCTCAGCGTGACGAGGAGCAGGGCCAGCGACTTCTGGTCCACGCCCACGAACCCCAGGGCCAGCATTATGGAGGCGGGCGCCCACAGGGCGATGCTGTTGTACGTCTTTCGCAGGGCCGTCAGGCTGAGGCACTTGTACTGCAGCAGGGTGTCCGCCACGATCAGGTACACGTAGCACATGGCCCACATCAGCAGGAAGGGCAGGGCCGAGAACACAGCATTGCTCTGCATCTCGAGGCGCAGGACCCCGCTGAGGTAGGCCGGCAGCTCGGCCTGCATGGTGGCCAGGCCCCAGGTGTCGGCGCAGCGGGCACACAGGAGCGCGTAGAACGGCGCCGAGGTGAAGATGCCCCGCCAGGGAATGGCGCGCCGTCGCTCTCTCTTCTTGGAGCTCATCTGCATCTGCAGATCACCCATGATGTACTCCTTCTCGGCCTGGCCAATGAAGCGGGTCTCGCTGGCCCGGTTGGCGCCCAGCAGCAGCCACAGCAGGCACCAGCAGAGGGCCAGGCCCGAGGAGGCATAGCTGATGCCCGGCCAGCCCAGCGGCGAGCTGGCTATCGTCCCGGCCGCGTACATGGCCAGGACATTGCCGCAGTCGAAGCCCGTGTAGGCGAAGGCCCCCAGCCGCGTCCGCTCCGCCTCCGGCGCCCAGTTGGCCAGATGCTGGTGGATGCAGGGCCACGTCACCTGGCACAGGCCCTGGAGCAGCCGGATCAGGCAGAACGCCTGCCACCCCGCCGCATAGATGCTGTGCGGCGTGGCGGCACTGAGCAGCGCCGAGCCCAGGGTGCCCCACAAGAGCACGGCCTTCGAGCCGAACCGCTTGCACAGGTAGCCGGCGGGGAACTGGGCCAGCGTGGAGCCCCAGTAGAAGCTCGACAGGATGTAGGACTTCTCGGACTCCGTCCAGTTGTAGTGCTGCAAGAGGGAGACCGCACTGTGAGGGGGCTGTCAACGGTGGCTGCTTCGCTTACCCACGGGCGTGTCCTCATTGATCGATGTGGCATTGGTCATGGCCACCACGGTGACGCCCACATTCAGCTGAAGGATTGTGTTGGCCGCCAGTCCGATGAAGAGCAGCGCGGCCTGCAGATGCCGCAGTCCAAGGCGTGGCACTGTCCACGGGATGAACGATTAATAAAGGGGATTCACTGGACTCTCTCCCTCTCTCTCTCTCTCTCTCTCTGTCACTCACCCTTTTCGAGATCCTCCTCCATGGCAGTTCCTGATTTAAATGTGATTCTGATTCTTATTCTGTTGGCAGTTCTTTGGCATTTGGCTAGCCCTTTGGAAGCTGAAAAGGTACAGAGCTATGAGATTTGGTGGCTTATCTGCAGTTGGGGCTTAAACGGCAATTATTTCTGGGATTGAGATCATTTTTATGGCCCATTACGATAGCTGGGAATATCATATATGGGTAATGGCAAATATTAAAGGTAATAAAAACCGATTTACATATACTTTCATTACGATATTGTTTGCTAAAATATACAGTAGAATTCGGTTATACCGATTCTGCTTATAGCGACGAAAGTTCGATGATTTGGTTGGTTTCCATACAAACTTATATGAAAGGTACTCCAAAAAAATTCAGCAAAAAAATTGTCCCGGCAAGAGTTCTGAAAAATCAGCTACCGATTTCAAAAGAAGAACTATCTAAATATTTTCTTATTCACAAAAGTGTGGCGATTAGGGAGGAACCTTCCGAAGACAACATTGTTAAAAATATATTAGATGACGGACAGGACTTTATACAACTTTTTATGAAAAAAAACATGTTATTGAAATCAATTTAGAAAAAAAAAAATTTTGTTGACTAAAAAATTAATTTGTTTTATTTTAAAACCTCTTACAAACTTAGCAAACATAAAATAAATTTAAAAAAAATTAATTTTTTTGCTTCTTTTGGTTAGAGCGTCTTCCGGGTATAAGTCGGTCCCTTGATTGTCCATTATAAACGGATTCTACTGTAATTTCATTGTCAGAGAGAAAGAATTGTCCATAGAAAAACTCTCTTTTGTTGAATCAATTTTAGAGCTCTATTTAAACGGATTTTACAGATCCAAACTTGAGCTTTCTTGAGGTTTAAAATCAAAAAAATACACCAAAAATATAATATTGGTATTTTATGGTCATATTTTCCCTTATTATTATCTGCTATAAGAAAGCTGATTCAATATCATAGCTCTTCCACAAAGTCTCTCCTACATATTCAATTGTCTTAAAATAAACCCCGAAAAATTAAACAAAATCGGCTAATGTTATATTTTTTAACTTTTGCTAACCCAAGAAAATTTTCCTAATTTTTAAGCATTAAATTAGAAAAACTATCAATATTTTTTGGTTTAAATCAAAACCATTTTTAAGAGTTATCAATGCATAATATTTAAAAATTAATCACATTCAAATATTGCCTCAGGTTATGCTGGAATCGGCTTTTCAATGTTTGGCCGGGAAAACCTTTTATTTTTTGTCACATGGGAATAAATTGGTTTTTTTTTTTGCATTATCTAGGATTAGAATTGGGATAAATAGGACTTAAAAGTTAGGTATATTTTCAGAAGAGAAAAGCCGCTTTATTTTGTAATTTTTTCACTTTAAATTTGTACGATTTTGGAGTGCCACATTATGGAAATTCCCATGGAAAAGTTTTGGTTTCCACTATGAGATGTGGTGAGAGAATTTTCCATAGAAATACTCTCATCGAATCGTTTTTGGAACCATTTGAAGCTATTTCTATATGGATTTGCAAGATCAAAACTGTTTCTTGAGGTTTTCAACTCATTTGAATGCGATTTAAGGCATTATATCTATCAGAAAAAGATTCAATCTTGTGTTCAAGTGGATACTTTTACTGAGGACACAATTCTCCTTCGTTCTGTTCGTTCTCGATCAACAAATCAATTGAAGTTCCCGTTTATTGAAGTCATGACCCAAACAAAGTTCGTACAAATCGTGAATGGCGATCACTTAAGATTCTGGAGTCATCAGTTCTTGTGAACAAAGTATGAATATTTCTCCACTTAAAAACTGCTGAAGTGGACAATTTTTGTCGAGAAACAATGCCACATTCCAGTGCAACAATAAACCCTGCATCTGGTTGGTTTATGAAAAAAACTCCCACAATTTTTTGTTGATCTAAACATATTCCATGTTCTATGGGGGAGCTTGGCAGGGGGTTTGCTGGAGCGGAACATTGTCGAAGGCCGAGCGATTTAATGAACATTTCTGGGCTCAGTTGAGGTCATCCGTGGGGACAGACATATCCTAATCAGACTGACGATGGCGGAGGCAGCCGTCCGTATTTGCACATTTTTTGCTGGCACAAAAATTCCACTGCAGAACTGGGGAGGAGATTTTCGATGTTGCACAAGGACACAAAAACAGACAATGGGAGGAGCCCTTCCTTCGGATATTACTGCCATGAAAATTATCTTGTTTGTTTGTTATTTTTTTTTTTGTTGGATATGTTTTTGGGTTTGGTATTTCCAGAAATTTTTGGTTCTGTTTGCCCCAGCAGGCCTGGGCTCTGAATCTGGCTTTGACTCTGGCTTTGGGTCCCGTCTGGGGCTCTGTTCCGTTCGGTTCCTCCTCCTCGATAATACGCAACGCAGCAGCAACAAAAAAATACAGAGAGGAGGAATAAACCAAACGGGAGAGAGCGGGAGAGAGCGGGAGACCAGGAGAGAGTGAATCTGAATACAAATCTCGGCATTTACAATTGTATCTGTGCGGCTAACAAGATACTTTTCAGTTCGAGAGTGCACACACGCCCACCCATCCGCCCACTCTTTTTCAATTGTTCTAATAGTTGGCAACGTGTGGAGGCGCCCCAAAAGGAGGGGAGTGGGCGCTTCATTTGTCCACCTTTGACGAAAATAGTAACAGATTCGAGCGACTAGCGACTAGCGACTACCGACTGGCAGAATGATCTATATTCTGATTGAAATTCGAACAGAAAAAGATAAAGATACAACCGACAGAACTTTTATTTCCAGGCCTCGATGGTTGCCAAAGTATTTTATCGCCAGAGACATTATCGCTTTTGCTTTAGTTTTGAAGTATTTTTTTTTTCTTATCTCGATGGAAATTGTTTAATAGATAAACCATAAAATACATGTATATTGAGGAGTCTGTGAAAGTTGAAGACTTTGTGGATGGTTTGGACTTGGGAATAACCTGCCAAGGAAGACAGAAATTAAGGAACTGAAAGCTCTTAGTCCTCAAATATTCCCTATTATAAAATGGGTTTGATATATTCCTAATTATGTCTTTGGCAAAAGCCATTAAAGATATAACGTCTTAGAACCAGACTTTTTCTTACACAAAATATTTTACAAAAATAACTAAAAACGGTAAAAAACTTTAACTTTATCTTGGTATATCTCCACTTATAGCCTTTGTTTGGTCACAAATTAAAAATCTTATGAAAGGCCAGACATTTCCCTTTGAAAATCATCAATTTTTGTGGATTTTAGAGCTGCAGATTCCCAGTGAAAATTATGAGATACCACAAGGCGGTGTTTTGAATGTTTTTGGGTTAAGTTTCCAGATTCAAAGTATCTACAATCTAATTTTTGGTGTGGTGCCAACTGCAATCCGAAAGATACATTTAATTGCCTTGTGTAATTATTTTGTATTTAATTTTTATAAATAAATGATGACAATTTTGTGTCATTCTGAGCATTACCCTGTTCTAATCTCAATGGAATTTCATGGACACATGGACAAGGGGTATATTTATGACTGTATAAAATTTGAATGGAATATCTCGAGCCAAGCTATATATAGCCTTACGAAAGCCCAAGAAAACGGCAAAAAAAGGTTGACTAACAGACTCCGATCTGTGGCTTTTCCTCTGGCAATGACGAATGCAGCATACCCCTAACACCTGTTGAATACCCTGTAGAAAAAACAATCAATTCAATGGCTTGTGTCCTTGGTTGTGTGCGTGTGTGTGTGCGTGTGTGTGTGTGGGGGTTTTATGAGTAAAAGGCCCATTCTTTTTGGGTGCCCATTGTGCAAATATTTGCACATTCGAATAGTTTTGTTTGCATTTTAGTTCACATTTTGCAAATTACTCTCAGCCCGAAAACCCCTCCCCACCCCCCTTCTTTTGGCCAAAAGCAGAGTGGGTTTGGGGGTGGGGGGAGGGGAGGGGAGGGCAGATCCCCAACGATCTTTGAGGGCTCTTACATATGTACGAGTATTTTGTTGAGTATTTTGTACGAAATTTATTAAAAACAAATCGGATACAATGCCATTGAGATTTAGATATTTTGTTTCTTGGTTTCGTTTTAAATCAGAAAATAAATTTCGGCACACGCACACACACACACAGAGAGATACTCCGACAACATTGTTGATTAAGTTATAAATAAATTGTATTCAGATTCAGATTCACTTGTTTCCCATAGTTAAAAGATTCAGAATCAGATTCATAAATTCACAGAACATTCGTTCCACTGTTTGCAGCACCACGTTGTACGTACACTTTGTTATTTCGATACAATGTAGAGGTGTATTACAATGTTTTGTTGTTTTTTTTTTATTTTCTATTAATAACGATTTTTAATTTAGTTTTACTTTGCCTCTGGCTGGCGCGCTGCTCGCGATCGCACGTTCTGTTTGTGTTTGCGCGCTTCGGGCGAATGTGAGTGTGCGAATGGATTCAGTTCTACCACCCGTAATTGCCAGCGAATCAATTCGAGTCGCCGTCGTGAGGCGCGTCACGCGTGAGGCCCTACAAAAGCAAGATAAAATTGTCTGCTTTGGGCTTAAACGGTTTCTCTTATCGCAAATTACTGTCTTATGTTGGGACTATATGTTTTCTTAACCTTAAAATGTGGTAAACTTTTCACAAAATGCCGCATTTTCTCGATTTGTTTTTGATACTGAAGAAATTTAAATTCAAAACAAACCGCCATATACATTCCTCACTGACACAAGATCACTGCTATACCACTCGCACAACAGATGATCACGAGAGCGTGATGTAGCGTGAGAGAGCATGTCTCTCGCAAAACTCATCCAACGACACGCAAAGCTGAGCGCCCACTCAAAAAACAGCCATAACATCAATAATATATTGTTTTTTTAAATATTTGATATTTTTCCAACAAAAACATCGATATTAAAAGATATTTAGCTCTCACTCGGTGACGCTCTCTGCCACCTTTCAATGTAAGTTTTAGGTAAAGCACATAGGGTATAGAAACTTCCATACTCAATACCCTGCAACCGGCAAATATAAAGTTTCTACTCAAAGAGAGCAATTGATCGAAACTCACAATTGACACGTAAAAATGAGGAGAGAGCGTCTTCAACATTTTGAAGCTCCAGCAACATTTCGACGGCCTTGCCGCCCGCCCCGAAAATCGTGATCGTGAATGAAACATCGGCCGCGAGCAATGAAACAACAAAATACTGTCGATTGCTATTCTGAATTCAGAAAAGTGCGTTAATATACCCCACAAAAAGAAACAACGTGATCGTGAATGAAACATCGGCCCCGCTATCGATATATCCCCACAACAACAACGAGCGGCGTTTTTGACGGTTGAGTTTCTGGTGTGTGTGCGTGTTTCCGTGGAAAACAAAAACAAAACAGCCGCGAAAAGTGTTCAATTGGATTGAAATTGATTTCATTTTCATTTGAAAATCCCCGTAAACGCATGTGCCCGCTAAACCCGCGACAGCCGTGAAAGATCAGCCAAAAGGGCAAAAATTACTTAGTAGTTGATAGATCGCGAAACGCAAAAGCGCGTCAACAATTACAGTTAAACTAGAAGGGTCGCGTCGTCGTCGCCGCCGCCACTCTGCCCCGCCGCCGCCAACAAAACGACGTCATTTTATCATATTTGTGTGAGTGCTTAAATTGTTTAAACAAACACACAAGCAACAAAAGCCGCTGGGCAATAATTCCTCGTGCGTGTTCAACTCTGAAATTGAAATTTAAATACGTATGAAAGAAGGCAGTTATAAAAAAGGGCAACAGCAACAAATTAAATAAAGCTGTGTGTGAAATCGTGTGCAAAGGAAAGAAGTGTGAAAGGAAGAAGAGATCGTGTGAGGAGCGAAAGAGGCAAGATTGGCAAAGAATACGGCATAAGGAAGAAAAGGAAGAGTGCGATAGGAAGCGTGCTCGGTGAATTTTGGTCTAAGGGTTGGTCTGAGAGGGGAACAGTGCGAAAGGAAGCCATAGCGGGGCAGGGTGTAAAAAAAGGAAATTAGAATGAACGCCACATAAGGAGCTAGGGAGAACAAAGCTGCCATCGATAAGAAAGCAGTGTTAGGGAAGATTTCTGCCATAAGCTTCAAGCAGTGCAAAACGAGTCCGGGTGTGGGAAGGGTACCAAGGAAAGCAGTGTGAACACCGAAAGTAAGAAATAAAGGAAAAGAATATAACAAAAAGTGCGTTGGATACAAAAATGTGCTCATAGCCCAGAAGTGATCTCAAAGAATTTGAAAGAATCCCATAAAAAAGCCACAAAAACAGAGAGCACAAAAACTTTTTACCGCCAAATGCAGGCCGTGCGCTCATAAAAAAACTCAATTATAATTTAATAACAGTTCAATTTGAGTTTTACGTCAGTGCAGTGAGTGTCGAGTCCCCCTTGCACACGCACGACGCCCCTGTGCAATTTATGTCATTTCGGCAACATTTCCTTGTCGGTCGCTTTTCGGTAGGTTTTTTTCCGTGTGTCCACTGGTATTTTTCGCGGCGTATTGTCTCTGGTAAAAAGTTGCACGCTGTGGTGCGGATAGCAGTGGGGTGTTGTGCTGGTCACCTGGTCAGGAAGTCCGCCTTTTAGTGGAACACGCGCTATCCATCGCATTGTCCAAGGAAAATGGAAAGAGACTGCCAGTGTGTGGCGTTATTCGTTTTTTTGTATTTCTAATTGTACTCGTTTTAGAGGGAATGTGTGCTCCTTGATACCCTGCATGCACTTTGGTTTTACATCCCTTGCCACGCCTCCTATTGCTGCCTCAACTTGCGAAGAACATGTGGGGAAAGATCTACCAATAAGCCACACGAACTGCAAAGCCCTTTGTGCCATTCATTCATAGAGAAAATGATGAAGAAATAAAAGAATCTGAATAGCAGGGTATCCCAAAGTCCGCGCGTGTTTGTGTTAAAGTGTGTTCTAGCCAAAATATCATTTTTCGCCCCTCTTTCAGTCCCCACATTGTGAAGCGTCTTTTTATGAACGTGTCCCCAAATATCGAAAGTGAATGAAATACAAAAATATCAAAAGAAAACAAAAAACCAACAACTCGGATCTTTACAACTGAACGGCGGAGTGCACGGATTTAACCCGCTCCCCAGAGCCATAACAGCAATCAATTTGTAAGTTTTATATTTATCTTTTCATTTTAAACTGCTTTTGTTTTCGGAATACTCATTTGTATTTATCATAACTGCTCTTTTGCCTGCTTCCCTTTTTGGTTTTTGCCTGTTGTTTACCTGTTGCCTGTACTCCTATTTTTATACCCCTCCCCCTCTGGCACACACACACACACGCACATCATCTTACGCTCTCCTCGCTCTGTTTCTGTATCTGTCTCTCTTCCACTCTGTCTGCAGCTCCTGCTCTCATTGTTGAACGGTTATTTCATGCATTGCGCTTTGTGTTGTTGTTTTTAACATTTATTTTGTTTTCGGTTTCGTCTGCCCCGTACACACACATGCACCCACACACTCATGGCATTTACTTTATGTTGTTGTTTTTTTTTCTTATTGTGCAATTCTACATTGGATTTACCTTAGCCCTCGGATCATCATCTTGAACCGAAGGCGTGTTTGTATAGGGTGAGATTTTTCCGCTCTCTCGAGTCGCCGCTCTCATTATCGAACACTCGGGCATGACAATGCATGGGACTATCGGCACGAAGGCTTCACCTTGTAAAAATACACCGCGTTGCGGGCCCTGAATCCTCTCTCACTCTTGCTCTTCCCTCTTTTCCTCTGTGTTTTTTTTTTTCGTTTTTCGTTTTCGTTTGTTCCACTTTTATTGCCGTCGCTTCCTTTTTGCATAATTTCGCTGACTCATTGGCATGCTCAGTGTAATTTTCATATTTTTTCGGTTACTGCGCGATCTCCTCTCTCCCTCGTTCTCTCACTCACTCTATGAACTGCTTTGCTTTGGTTTTGTGGTTTCGACCACACACGCACGCACACACGTGCAGGCCACACCACACACACACCTGACTCTGACTTTTTGTGGCTGTGCTTTTCCGTGTAGGTTTTTCATTTTGTTGACATTTTGCCTGTGGCTTTGGACCCGGCTCTCGGGGCTCTCGGCACCGCAGCAGAACGGCACCTGCTCAGGCCTTTTCAGGGTCAACTGGGAGCTGGGAGCACGGAGGCCGACCCAACCCGAGCAACCCCAGAGAATTCTGTTTAATATTGTGTTGGTGGCTGCTAATGAGTGCACTGTGTGTGTGTGTAGTTCAATTAGGGAAATGAGGAGTGGAAATGTTGCAAGTGGCAAGTACTGAAAGATTTATTGGCTCTCGCTTTAAGGGAATTTATTTAGCCTTACCCTTTCTTTGTGCTGCACTCCCCACCCTCGCTTCCAGGAACCTCCGCCCCTGCTCATGCACACAAATGGCACTCATTTGGAGGTACTTCAATCCTCGTGTTCGCCTTTTCTTCATAATAAAAGTAACTAGATTTAAGCACTTGTGTGTGTGTGTGTGTGTGTGTGGGTGTCGTACAACAAGCGCCGTTATTTTAGATACAAAACGACTCATTTAGAGGGAGTGAAAGAGAGAGAGAGGGAGAGCTGTGGATGAGGTGGCGTTTTGCAGGGCGACGCATCGTCGGGGCCAGACGTAATTTGCAAACAAAAAGCCATTAAAATATCAAATTAGCGTCTGGCTTCAGGGGGCCTCTCCGTATACGGATTTAGTTGAAGTCTCCAATTGTCGTTGACGCCGCCGGTTGCTCTCAGCCGCCGTCCCCCTACAGCCTCCCGCAGTAGGCCCGCCTACTGCTCCTCCCCCTTCCCGTTATTGTGCAAAATCGAAAGTAAATGAAATGTGGCACCCACCCGCATGTGTGTTCCGATTCTGTCATCAATTTGTTGATTAACAGTTGTTAGTGTCCCCTGCCTGGCCGTGCCCCCCTTCAAGCCCCCCAAGTCCATCAACTGAGATTCTGATAAAAGTCGCGTGCACATCGTAGTTATCAGTGCGCTCTGCTCTGCAGTTCCCGTTCCCTTTAGTTTCGCTTATCAGCCATTAAGTGAAATTGTTTCTGGTCCGCGAGCAAAACTTTCGTATCCTATAAGTGAGGGGAGTAGTGGGGGGTATATGCGGTGATCGGCAGATCAATAGGGTTATGTTCTAGCGAAAAAAAACCAAAACCAAACTAAAAAACCAAAGGTTATACAAAACTCTAAAGATCTCTTGAAAATGATCGAGATAAGATGATTTTTGCTAGAGATCAGAAATAAGAGGTATGAGCCTGTAACAGAAACAGAATGCTATCACTTTTTTGTACAAAAAAAATGGTTTAATAACATTAATTTTTGATTTGTATGATATAAATTTAAAATAAAAATGAATTTTTAATATTTTATATATAAATAAAAATTTAAGAGCTATTTCTGA